GACAACGTGCACACCGGCATTGACACGGCACCAGGATTTGGTTTTCGAAGCATATTCATTTCTCGCCGAGTCGATTCGTCGTGAAGACTCTAGCTTTATTCGTTCATGCAACCCATGCTCATTTTCTTTCATGAGCTCCGAATCCCACAGAAGATGATGAACCGAATGAAGTAAAACTCCGAACCAATTCACATGCACCACGCTCTTCAGTATTTCATGATCTATGCCTCGGTGACAGCGGCCTGAGCCTTGGCACCCCTGGCCTTGGTGGGCTTGGACTCCTTGACGGGCTTCTGGCTCTTGCGGATGGCGGAGGCCTTAGCGACGGCGTCCTGGCGGAGGTCGGGGCGGTAGTTGCGCTTGGTGGTGGAGTTGACGATGGCGGAGTATGTCCTACGTTGGTCAGCGAGCAGCCCTTTGATATGCGGTATCGGCGCAGTCGAGCGAGGACAGCCGCGGCTTGGAGAAGACGTACTTGCGGGTGGACCTGCTGGGGCCGAAGGTGGTGGTCTGGATGGCAGATGCGGGCTGGTGGTGCTTGTCGGCCTTCTTGATGAGAAGAGTGACACCACCCTCGGGGCCGGGGATAACACCGATAGCCTATTCCAACGTTGTCAATACGGTGTCCTGTGTTGGTTCGCATGTGCGCGCGGCGCATTCGTGGTTCGTGGTAGTCGTACCTTGTTGGCAATGGAGCCCTCGTTCTGAGCAGAATTAGTCAACTGTCCCCAAGAACACAACATCCACACATACCTTGCGGCTGTACACGTTCCTCAGGTTAAGAGGATCGCGCGAGAACTGGATACCGTTCGCCCTCTTGACGAGCGTGGAGCTGCGTCCCTCTGCCATATGTCAACCCCAGTCCCTCCCCAATGCGCGTCCCAGTCTTTCACTCACTGGTAACCTCCCAGGCAAGATCGTGCGAGATAGTGGTGGCCATTGTGTCTGTATGGAATGTGGATACGGACGATGTCGATTGCTTGACGTTGGGAAAGTTCGCCAATATTGAATCGAGGGCCCTCGTCTGCATTACCGCATGCGCTTAGTGCGTGTTTCGGGGATGGATCAACGTGCGTGCCGACGCCAAGAGCGGAGCGGAAGTGACGATGCATGAACGCGACGTGAGGCGGTGCAGCCGAGCGTTCTTGTCCGCGACTCCGTGGTTACAAACCATCGTTGTCTTGCATCAACCTCCCCTAATGCCTTGGCTTCAGAGGCCCTCATCTACACACTACCGCTGAATTCACTTCACATCCGTTTCTTTTGTATTCATCACCAACTCCTTTGTCGCGCCGAGCAGCTCCCTCCCGCACTCCCGAAGACCTCCGCTCTGTCGCATACGCTATAGACCTCTCGTGCAGCCTCGGAAGCAACCTTCATCATGGCCTACATCCTCTACTCCGTCTCGCTCTTTGTTCTGGTAATTGCGACAGGTATGTTGCCTTAGTGAACACCTCCTGCGCCACACTAACACTGCGCAGCTGCCTATTTCACCCGGCACCGCTGGATACACCTTCTGCCTATCCCCGGACCCATCTACACGCGCCTCCCATCCTCGTTCCGCGACGACATCGAAGCCGGCCTTTCGTCCTCAGCGTTTGACCTGAGTGGGAACGTGGAAGCCGGCGACTCGCGCCAAGGCTTGGACGACGCGGGGAAGAAGGAGGTTATGCGCATTATGAAGAGACGCGGCTGCGACTTCGACGAGGCACGCAGAATATACATGCAGGAGAGGTTCAAGAAGAACAACATTGGAGCAGATGGGATACCCCGTGACCCCAAGTTTGTCAGCTTCTCATAATCGCAACGACTGGGTTCAATGGCGGGTTTCAGTCACAGGGCTCTTTCGTAATTCTTTCTTGTGTATGGGGTTTGGACACATTACTACATTTCCTTTGTTGCCTTCAGTGGCCTATCTCTGTCTGACATGCTCTTGGCGGGTATCTTTCTGCGAGTACGGATTTGGACGCCAGATATCCTGTGTCTTCTGTTCTTCCGAGTTCTGCGTCTTTCCTTCGCTGACCTTTCAGCGCCTTTTCGAATACACTTTTGATGTTTTCCCTTATTCAACTCGAAGCCTGGTGAACATCATGCCTCGCAATCGTGACCCTATCGTCTCATGCTGCTTCATGTCGATCAAAGGCCAGGACTTCCGCGATCTCAGCGGACGGCTACTATATCGATGGGCCTGGTCCCCTGGCTCGCAGAAGTACCGGTTCTAGCATCTTGGAGACTGCTCAAGCTACGTCGCCCATATTCAACGCGATTGTCATTGGTCCCTTCGCGTCTCGTCTCTCTACCTCGGTGCCTGAGCGTAGCCGGGAGGCCCTCCGAAACCTGGGGGACCTCCAAAAGCTGGCGGTGGGCCGTTAAACCCGGGCGGAGGAGGGAAGAAGTTCGTCGGAGCGCCGCTTGGAGGGCGAGCAGGCAAGCCAGATGGGGGTGGTGGAAGACCTGGATGGCCGACCGGAGCTGCGGAAGGAGGTCGGCCATAGCCTCCAGGGCCGTTGGGAGCGTAACCAGGAGGTCCGCCGGGAGGTCCGCCAGGGGGTCCATATCCTGCTCCAGGTCCGCTTGGTGCGCCGGGCATGCCACGTCCATCCATGCCCATGGCTGGTCCACTCGGTGCAGCACCTGGTGGAAGTTGGAAAAGATGTGCGGGCAGAGGTTGCACAGCAGGCGCAACTCCGTGGGCCTTGGCCTGTTTCGCGAGCATACGCTCCGCTTCGTCTCCGTGCCGCTCACCCTTTCCGTCTTTCTTGTATGCGTATTGAACCGTGATCTGCTTGCTCATGATGTACTGGTTGTGCATGCTCGCGATAGCCGCATCTGAGGATTCGAAGTCGCCGTAGGAGATGAACCCGTATCCCTTGGATGCTTGCGTGATGTCGTCGCGCGCGACCTTTGGCGCATTCACCAACGGTCCAAAGCGGCCAAATGTATCGTACAGTGTCTTTTCATCCACTCCAGGATCAAGGTTACCAATGAACAGCTCTGCGCCAATCTCAACATTCTTCTGCTTATCTGCGGACGCCTTGTTAACACGTATCCGACTTCCGTATAGCGCAACGTTGTTCATGATCTTGGGCGCGTAATCTGCCTCTGCTTCCGTGTGGAACTCGACGAAACCGAACCCTTGATGTTGGCCGTTGACGCGATCGACGGGCATGTTGACATTTCGTACTCGGCCGGCGTTGAGCATCAGCTCGTGAAGGATGCGGGGTGTGATGCGCTCATGGAGGTTGCCGACGTAGACGGTTGCTTCTTTATTTTGTTCCCTGCGCTTTCGTGAGTTGATGTTGACTACTTGGAATGCTGCAACTTACCAGTGACGCGCACTCGGGGCCGACATGTTGAAGGGCTGCTGTCTATAGGCTCGAAACTCTGGATCCTGGGTCGCAATAGAGAGTCGAGCGATTTAGTTGGGGTCGTGAGGCGTCGTGAATGGGGATTGGTGTTCAGGAACGAAGTGAAGGCATCTCGAAGATATTGGAGCTCCAGTCTGAGCTTGCGCTAACACACATGCGGCTAATCCCAAAACTTTGAGCTTTACGCATCATCGCAACTTCGTTCGCTGGGCCCGCCTTCACCCATTACCGCATACAACTCGACCACCTCAACCCCAGGCCGACTACATACTCAACATGTACCAGCTGTCAGAAGAGTCCAAGGTCCGTCAATACGCCAAGTACATCCAGACCGGGCTTCCGTTGACTCCATACAGGAGCGCATCGCGCGCATCATCGATGTCTCCCGCGTCGCTATTCACTACGGCTACCTGCCTTTGATCCTATACCTCGGATACTCCCGAAGCGAGCCTAAGCCTTCTCTCATCCGGTGAGTACACCGCCTATTCCCGCCGTTCCTATACCAGCACGAGGTTGCTCTTCACAATGGGAAAGAACTTCGCCGGCTGTGGAAATCAGCCTGGCGACTTCCGAAGCCTGGAAGCAGACTATGAGAAAGAGACTGTGATCTTGTTCCTACAAGATTACACCAAAGCCATAACGGGCCAGCCTAGCAGTGTCAGTGGAAGACCAAGGCATCTACGGGGATTACGGTCTTTCTGCTCTTTCAGTCGCTCGCTTCTGTTCTGAACTTCTTCCTCAAAATATCGCTCCATCATGGCCGATGTACTTTTGGGAACTTAGCTGACCCTTCTAGTCTTTTCTCTCCCCTCGCATAAGCACCAAACGACGATATGACAACAACGATTTGCGATTCATTGTACAATACTACACACTTTAGGCGCACGGATTCTCGGGTATGATTTGGACCGTGGTGGTCGGGAAGATGGGCTATACAAGTACCATGTGTTCGAAAATTCCTCTACTCTATCAGGTCGCACGGAAGTCGGCAAAACGTATCCCACAGAAGGCGGGATTTGTACATGTATACCAAAGTCTTAATACGAATTGACGGTACCCTGCAGGACGGCCGGTGCCATGGCTGCCCGGTCCGAGTGGTAGCCCGCTTTTTGCACCAAACACATTCGTCTTGCGCATGCGTGTCACAATTGCTGGAACTTGCGGAGTCTAAGCTTGCGCGCGCGTCGGTCCTCATTGAGCCCAGCGCCGGTTGGCAGGTATTGACAGCTACGCGGGGCAAATGCCGGTTGTGCGGTTGACGCCAATGGCGAGACGCTACCTGACCCACGTGGTATCCCGGTCGAGCATCGCGACCCATGCTCCTCCATTCTCAACCTCTGCGAACTGGAACACCCGGCCACCGGTCCCCACAGTACACGCGGGCAGTCGTTATGGAGTCTTATATCCCAGGCGCACGGCGCTGGGCCTGCTCTAGTTTGTGCTGCGAATCCTCATCGCATAGCCCCCACGCCTCCCGTGTCCACAGTATATCGAGAGCTCCCCCGGATGTTCTCTGCCCATTCTCTAGACCTTATGGACACTTCAAATTGCTATCAACATCCTCATCCGTGCGCTGTCTTACTACCTGGCTGATTGCTCAACTTTGTGCATGACCCGTCATCGTCCGCCACCATGACCGTCCCCAACATTGGGGACATCTTGGTGCTGTCGCAGAAGGCTTGGAAGATTGGACGCACTTTTTCTGCTTGCCAAAAGAATGCACCAGTGGAGCTTCAATATGTTGAGACGGAAATTGGCAGCCTCGCAAAATCACTGGCATCGTTGGCAGAGACGCTGCACGCGGAGTCCGTGCGGCAGTTGTTACAGGACGCTGACCAGGAAATAAAAGATGGCGTTGACACCATCATAAGGTCTTGTCAACGGACAGTAGATGATCTTGACTCGCTGATCGACCAATACCAAGTCATCAAGAAGCACCGCACAGTTGGAGGGTTCGCAATCGAGCGCTCGTGGAGCGATCTGGTATTATCCTCATACAGGACGATGATCTGGACTCCCGAGGGCGGAAACCTCGCAGATCTGAAAGAGATGTTACAGACACATACGAACTCTATCGATGAGTTGACGGAAGCATTGCAAAGGCTAGTGCTGTCAAATCCATGTCACACATCTACTGACCATGGTGCAGCAAGTCTATGGCTCGTATGGACAGCACCGTCATACCAATGGCAAAGCGAATCGATAACATGAACCACTTGGCTGGAAGCATCGATCAGCAGCTTGACGAAGTACATCGTATGGTAGAGGACCTAATGATTGCACCAGAAACTTCACATGTGCCACCCGTACCAGCAAAGAACCCTGCGCGTTCACCGACCACCGAAAACGCCGACCCATTGAGCCAGATGTATCATGCTTTATCTCCCCCAGAATCTCCACCCAGGTCACAAAATATCGAAATATCTTTGCCACGGATCCCGCAGCGCCCAAAGTCCCACGAACAGTCCTCTATAGTCAGATTCAACGAGGATGCTCCTGTTCCGACATCTCCGGCGGATGTCGTGTCCGCCTCAAGAACATCCTCACCCACTCAAAAACGTGTGTCGGAATTTAGCTTTGGCGGCTCATCTTTGCGATACTCCAGCAGTAGCTATGCATCTTCTGACGCTGGTACCAGCTCAGTCGGTTGGCAAAGTCCATCTTCGTTACTACCTGACTCTCGACTGAGCGGACAGTTTTCGACATCGACCAAGAAAACATCACCTCTTCCAAGGACACCGGAAGTATGCGAGCCGGGCCGAAAGGCTGACAATCGGCATCATACACTACTCCAACCTCCGGCTATGAAGCTCGGCTCACTCTATGAACTCGAAAGAACACCTACTCAAACATCGCATGCCATGTTAAGCCCTTATCCTTCGTTGCAACCAGAGATTATGAAACTTCACCGAAGTTCAACCACTACCAGTCAAAAAGCCGCCTTCGAGAAGGAAGCTTTCCGTAACTCAGCGATTCTATGTGATGTGTAAGCCGACTTTGCTCTTAGTCCGTTCTTCTCAGTGTACGTGTTTAGCAATGCTAACTACAGAAAGTCGCGGTTCGCTCGTCGAATACTCGCACCGGATAAACCAAGACGACCCAAGAGACGTCGAAATGATCGAGGCTTCTGAAGAGTGCAGAATCGCCGTAGTACGGAAACGCGTAACCGACTCTGAGACGAAGGCAGTGCGCGTCGTGACATCCGTATGGGCGTTTAGCGACGACAACACGACCCGCGTGGAGCTACGTATGGAAGACGACCAGATGTACATACCGTACTCCAGCTACTTCAACCCCGCCAAAGCCTCCATCACAGTCCTCTGCGAGCTCATATTTCACGACGTCAAGCACGGCAATCGGCCAGTGCGTGTAGAAAAGACAAGCTGGGTCAACTACGTCTTTGACTCACCACAAGGTAGACTACTGAAACAGCATCTAAGAAAGAGGACGATGACTAACTGCGTATTCAGCGGCCGCACTCTTCCAAAACGAACTAATGGGCCGCACTCTGCTCGCGACATTCCGCACAGAAAAAACAATGCGCATCCACGAAGGCCTCTCCAAATCCTTCTCCTACGCCGAGCAAATGTGCGGCCTGGAGAACCTCCGCGTCTGGGAAGACAACGACACAGGCGCCATCATCGCCCTAATTCATTTCTCCGCCGACTTCCGAAACGGTTATCTAGCCTTCTACCTCAACTCCTCCGTCAACCCCATCAGAGTGAAAGACGGTGGGGACAGAGAGGTCAAGATCAAAGGGCTGAGAGTACCGATTGATCGGGGTGATCGCGCGATGAGAAAGGACAGTTTTGCGGAAGCTGCCACTGCTTCTGTTACAGGGAAAGGTAAGGAGAAAGTGGGGGCTGGGAAGAGTGTGGACAAGGGGAAGGTTATCAGTGGGGCGAAGATTGAGTTTGCGACGGAGATGGAGAAGAGGGAGTTTTTGGAGATGTGTGTAGAGATGCAGAGGGAGTTGATTGAGTTGCCGGATTTGTTGGGGGTTAATTGAGGAGAATGTTGTCACGATTAGATCGGTGGGATGTAGATATTGATTGATTATACCACGGTTTTGTAGATCGCCAGAGCGTTCTCCTCGTAAGGTATTCTTTTTCGGTGGCTGATTTCTAACCCTTGAGCATACACATCAGAGTGCTGACTACCGGGTAGAGTAAAGCCTCTTGGAGCGTTAAACGCCACTTATTCAGCCTTATCACTGTGACATCTTCATGATCTCAGAGCTTCCACTCGCCCTCGACCCAGAAACTGTTGTAATCCTCTTCACAGTTCCTGCCCAAGAACAAACAGCCTGACGCAATAACAGACCCATGCTCACGGTCAAGCTGAAACTCGACATTTGATTCACCTGCGCGGACCGTTAGACTGGTCTTGTGTCCTGCGGAGGCAAGGGTGTGGATCCTGACACGAATGTCGCGTGTGTGATCACATGAGCCTAACGCTCTACTAAACTCTTTGACCGCTTCATAGTCTTCTTTGTAGCCTTCGTTTCCGGCGCCCTTCGCAACGGCAACGTGAAAAGTGCGAGATGGGTGGGCTTTCAATCGGCTTCTGTGGCCGTCCTGGAAAGTGAAGCCACTCAACGATGGGTCGGTCCGGCGAAGGTGAAGCACGTACCCAGCCTCGCGGATGAAGTAGAGTAGACGAAAGACTCCCTCTTCGAACGTGCCACTCTGTATGGAATATCCGTACTCTTTGAGAAGAGGGGACATGTCGTAGCCTCGAGAAGCCAAGAAGGTATCGAAGTTGACGGACGAGGTTGTACGAATGCAAGAAGACCAGGCGATGACTGTCTTGATGATTCCCTTCGGCGCACCAAGAATAGGCAGAGCGGAGATTTCGGTTTCGATCTTGGGCGCAGTGCCAGCGACAAAAGGAGGCTGCTCGATCACTCCTCCAGGTAGAAGCTGCTGTGTGGTCTTACGGATGACAGCTGCAGCTTCGTTGTGGACTGTCTTACATGTAGTAAGAATGGCAGTCGGCGGTTCATGATTAATGAGGGTGAAGCTGCTCTCAGTTGTTCCGTCGCTGCTGCGCTTCACATATCGAGTACGAGTGGTACGGTTCGGCAGGAGCTCATACACCATCAGTCGCAATTCAGCAGGCAAGTCGAGGAACCCCAGGGGTCGGGATTGCGCGTTCGTCATGTTTGACCGTGGAGCTTCAAAGTCCTGGATTAGCATCAAAGTACAGTGAAGTTTCCGTAGGCTTTACCTTGTAGTTACGTTGCAGCGCAATGAAGTGAGTCTCTTCGGCGCGCAAGGTGCTTGCATCCACCACGGGTAGTAGTGGTTGTGGCCACCGAGCTGACGCTTAACAATCTGGGCTCGATCGCGATCCCATTGACTCGTAGTGGGGGAGTAGGATGGAGAGTATTTGGTAGGGGAAGAGCAACTGCTCGTAGCCAGGTTGGGAAGCACAGACTGACGCTAACCCCACTCGCGGAAGGCTAGGCAGCGACGCGCAAGGAACTCGAGGTGAAGGTAAGTGTGGACATCAAACCACAAGTTGTGCGCGGTAGTAGGACAAGAAAGATATTAAGAGATCAAGCGCTAATTTGATAGAGCGATGAAGATACTACTATTATTAGACACGTTCTACTTTTCCAGAATAAATCAAAGCTGGACGCTCTTGCCGTCTTATCTTCGCCTTTACCTTCACTCTGCCTCTAACTCCGCCCACACCTACACACCGACGCAAAAAGAGACGAAAACAACACCAACCCAGCGTTCTATCCCAGCCTCGAACCAACACCTCTACCCAGATCTCAATTCAATCAATGTCTTTGGATTCAGTCTCTTCCTTTTCTTACTTCTTGGAATTTCACTTTCCGGATCGTTTACACAGCCCTCAGACATAATAAGTCATGAGTCTGCGACTCTGCTCTACTGTAACCACACCGCAATGCCATCGAGCAGAAACACTGAATCGAAAGGCGGACATCTCACTTCTTTCTCGGTTCGTCCTTGGTGAAGACATTGCTTCTCTTATCCGTGTTATCTCTCTAGTTATACCATCTTTTCAGCGTATCCTAGACTAGTATACCGCATTGCATTCTCTAAATAACTAATACTACACGCCTTAGCTGCGCAAATATAATTATGTAATTATAGTACAAAATTAATGCTTCTAAAACGCAGTTATAGTCTTAGAATATAGTTTAGCTTGCCTTGTCTTGCTATATGTAAAGAAACACATGTTCAAAAAAGAGCATTAGTACACGGGATCGAACAGGCGCGAAAGTTGGGAAGCAAAAATACATGGAGCTCGATGTGTTGCGTACGACTCAGCCATCCTTCCGGTGGAACATTGTCAAAGCCTGCAAACTGACGATGGAGTCTTACAGAATTCCAACCTACATGTATTGCCATCCGCTACATACCCGGCTTTGCTGTCCACGTTCACCTGGCAACGCTTTACGATAGGCGCACCCGAGCGTTTGCTCCCACTCACTCCCGCACCTCCACACCGAGCCCCACTATGTTTATACTATATCTTGGCGCCTGCCTTGACAAATCTGACTCTCTCGCTTTTGCTTTGCCTCTTCACTGATCCTGCGAAGGAACTGTGCGCACTGCCGATACTAACAATGGCGACTTCACTGCCCACCGAAGCCCGCGGGACCAAGCGCAAAGGCGAAGACGTCGATAACGAGGATATCATCAGTCCAGAGGCGCAGAAGATCAAGACGTTTATTCGTGGCGGATTCCACAAGGTCCTAGCCAAACTTGGATACCACAGAGAGATCAGCAAGTCAGACTTACGTTCGGATCACGAAATCACCAACTCGTATGTGTTTCTCATTCTGTTCACGATCGCAAACTAACTTGCATAGCTGCCTGGCCGACTTGGCCAAGTCCTTGCCACAGAAATTTCCCATCGCTGGTCCTGGCAGAAGCCTATGGAAGTGCCATGCGCAGGTCGCCGCCACCTACTCACCCATCATGCGGGGTCTGATTGAGAAGCATGTAAGTGTTTGAGTTCATCTGGTTTAGGGGTCCACGCACGACTTCAAGTGGATTGATTCTAACGTGTGAAAATAGAAGCAGATCTTTGTTATGGAAGACTGGCCTGCGTACGCTATCGATGCCATGGTGGACTTCTTTCGTCATCACAAGGCTTACCGCATCATCACTCCCATCGACCGCCACAAGCTCATGTACTTGGACCCTACATCCGACGCTTCCGTTGAAGCTATTCCTTCCGATGTGTGCCTCGCTCACGTTCACCTCGATATCTTCAAGCTAGCATATGACTGGAACATCAAACATCTCCAGGAATTCGCTCATAATGCATTGGTCAAGGCATTGGCGGGTCAGCCTACGCTGGCTCAGTTCAAGCACATGCTTGTTAGCACTGGCATATTTACAGAAAAGTATTGCACGCCTCCTGCTTCCGAGGATCATCTTCTGAACCTGTTGTTGATGGCTTTGGGTACTTATGGTGCTATGGTTCACGATGCCTGGATGAGGGAAGAGAACCGTCAAGAATATGTCAACCTCTACATTGTCGCACCTTATTTCGCCGTCTATCGCGATCTGGCGACACCAGGACATAGCGTCCATTTTGCTGAGTGGTCAAAGGAGGTAAATGCGAAGCGGCAGAAGATCGAGGGCTCCGGTTCCATGCAATTGTCATAGCATACAACAGCCCCACCCTTCATCTCAACACCTCAAACATCCCCAGCAACCAACTTCATGATTACGACTAATTTCAATAATTCTTCAGCTATCTGCGTGGTATCCAACGTGGTCAAACATGCAACAAGTCGCGCGCCTTACTCCAAAGAGCCTAACCAATCCATTCGAATTCCAATTCATCCATATCCTCCATCCTAGCCGTGTATACCACCTCAATAACCAACTTAAACAGCGGACTCATGACTCCAAAACCAGCCACTGACTATGCAAAAGAACCATAAGAAAAGAATCTACCAAACGATACACCGCTGAGCGATCTCAATATCCAATCCATGCTATTATCCTATCCAAACTCTTGTGTTGGTTCCCAGACGGCTGGCTATACAAACGCCGGGGTAAGAAGAACCCTATGCTCGAGATCGGTCGTGTTCTACTCGCCGTTGACCTCCGGCTCGGGAGCGGTGCCGTTGGCGCGGTCGGCGCCCATGTACCGCTGCATGTATGTGATGTAGTCGAATTTGGGTATGTCGCGGTCTTCTGCCATATCTGGGCCTTTGTGCTCGGGCATGGTGGAGAGGAGGTCGTCGATGACTTCGTCGGGGACGAGGGAGTGGCGGAGGTCGAGTTCGGTCACGTATGGCTGGTGGGATGTAAGTAGCTGGTGACACATGGAGAAATGAGGGAAAGAGGTGGGTATAGACTGACCTTGCCGTCGGCGACCTCTTTGAAAGACTCAAAGACTTGCTCCGCGGTATTTTGATCCTCGGTTTCGTCCACCATGAATCGGATAAACTGCTCAAATGTAACATAGTCTTTGCCACCACTAGTTTCGCGGAATCTCTCGTGCATTTCTTCTTCGTCGTATACCAAGCCCAAACTAGCCAATGCGGCAGAGAACTCCAATTCTGCTAACGAATTCGATACATCGCGATCAAAATGCCTGAATACTGATTCGAACTCTTCAAGCTGTATTGGGGTGAGGTTGGTCATGTTACGTGCCACCATCTGGTTTTCCAAAAAGGCAAGCTTCTTCGATACCGAACTGCGGACCAAGCCCAGCTCGTATTCTAGCTCGTCGTATGTGTATGTTGTGAAGTCGTTCTCCTCGATGTTCGCTTCGGCGCATTGCTCGTCGATGGACGCTATGAGGTTCAGATATTCGTCCAGGGGTGCCAGCGACTTGCTGATCTCCTTTGTGTGCTCTAGCTGGTCCTCAACATCGCCTTCCAACGCTGATATCGATGTAGAGAGTGTGTTGAGGGCCAGGGCAAAGTCGTTTGCTTTGTCGGCGAAGGATTTCCGCAGAGCGTTCTTGATGTCTCTAATTGTCTCGTTGATGACCTGGGAGCGTTGTCTCTCGGCCTTCATCAATCCCGTCCAGGCGCTGTCTAGTGCTTCGAGGCTGAGCTCCGCGGGCGGATCGTACGGTCGCAACCGGTATGTGGCCAACTTCGTCCTTATATTCCCTAGTAGTCCCACCAGGTCCGACTTCTCGGCTACCCATGTTCGCTTGCTTTTGCGCTTCCAGGCGGTGAACTCGGTCGACTGGTTCCTAGCGTCTGCGTATGTCCCGTCGAACTTGGCCTCCTCCCATTGTGTGCGCTGCTTGGCGATCTGGTCTAGCAGCTCGCGCATGCGTCGCTCGAAGTCGTTCTGCATCTGCCAGGCTCCCTGCATATTTGCGACGAACTTCTCGACTCGCCGCCCAGCATTCTCCACGCGCTCCATCTGTGAGAAGGCGTGGAACCAGTAGGCAATGTATGTCATGAGTGAACGCTCGTCGGGCTTCGCGACGTCGCACACGTCCTCCACATCCAGCAGGTCGGGGATACCAATCTCTTTGGAGGCGATATCGAATGCAAGCTGCATGTTGCCGCGGTGGTCGCTCTTGTCTAGGCTGTCGTAATCGATGAGATCGGGACGGTGGATGTCGAGCAGGGCGCAGCTGTCTGTTGTTAGCCCAGTCTCCCACCAAAGAATGCTCCACCTACAATGCCAGTCCGTCGTTCCAGCTCGTAGAGAAGTCACGCACTTCGACCTCATCGTAGCAGGCCGTCTTCCGCTGACACCACAGCAGCAGACCCTCCTTGGCACTGAGACCCTCTTCGTTGATGTCACTGATGGTGAAGCGCAGAATGAGGGTCCATATCAGACCCAGGATGATCTTGCTGTTGCCGTCGACGACATCTTCGGCACCGGTATTGGTAAGCTGGATCCTCCGACTCCGGATGAAGTCGAGCGACTTGTTGACGTTCTCAAACTTCTGCACGCGCAGCTTGGGTCGGGAGGCATAGCGGCCGAGGGATTCGTTGCTGAGGATCTCGAGGAGGTGTATGAGTATGATCTAGGGGGCGTTAGGACGTGATGCGGGGAGAGGCCATGTTGGGGGCCAAGCGGGGCACGTACACCGTCCGAGAGGTCGATGATGAGGTCCTTGATCTCGACTTCGCGGATCTTGAGCTTGCTGTTCAGCCTGCAGCGGTGTTAGTAGTAGTGTCGGGGCCGGG